CAATGATGATAGTAAGAATTGTTTCTTCAGCACCAAATTAACATTTTAGAATGATTTCAGAAGGATCGTGTGACACTAAAGACTTTTGAAAATTTGGCTTAAATAACTTGCATTTTGCATTCAAATGCAAAGGTTATTTTTTCAAAATAAGAACCTTCCTTCAAGAACAATCAGATCCTACATTTTTTAAAAGTTGTGTAGGTTGAGGAAATCAGTCAATTGTAGATGAATTAGAAACTTGGAGTAATAGATTGCAGTGTATATTAGTTTTGAATTCACACTAATCAAACAATCTTGATATAATTGTATTATGACAGATATCAATTCAACATTGTATTTCCAGGTCCCTGCTGATTCCCCACCTGAGCCCAGTGATGAGGGGGCCCACCCATGAAAATTTAAGCAAAGATGTGTGAATTTAAGTGACGACCACTTTCCCACTCTGCTGTCAACAGTATTTTCTTTGTAAAAAATTATGTGACAGATGAAAGCATGTCAGCTGTGTCTCTCAGGACTATCAGCTGTCAATATTCCTGCTGGAAATTTGACTTTCTAACAGAGAGAAAGAACACCTCCTATTAACATATTACTCATATTTTCATCTATCAGGCTGGATTATGTGCCGTCTTTAGTCATGATTTTCTTGCCTGCCGCTGAATTTCCCCCACACTACGCTGTCGATGGAACATCTCAGCTGGGGAATGATGAATAATGTCTGTGTCTCTCAGAGTGTCCATGAAACACAGGCGTCTGTCTTGCTTTGTTTACCCCTTACTAACAGGACCATGTAGAGTCAGCTCAGAAGTGAAGGCAGTCTGCTTTCATGATCAATAAACTTGTGGGACAGGCAGGATACACCACGCTGTTCTGGTCTGCTTTTTTCTCTGCGGTGTCGTTCATTTTTGGGAGAAAACCAATTCAAGAAGGCACTTGATTAAATGAGATGTTAGTGTTTCGCCTTCCCGCTCTCCCATGACTCCTTTCCGACAGTGGCTGAGAGCTGCTCATTTATTAAGGGTAGCATCACATCCAATTCTACTAAAGCAGACATAAGTGCTGTATGTGGTCTCAACAACATTCATTTTGTGTCATCATCTCAGCAGGCTCTGTCTTTAAAGATTTGTGATCATTAGCGAAACTTTATTTTGTTAACCACATAATGACAGAAGGTGAATTTTGGAAAACCTACAGAGTAATTATAGGAATGCAGTAAACTACATAATTTTAAAAATGGTTAGACTGAATGACTATTTGACTAGTTGCTTTTTTAAAAGAGATTTACTAGATTTCCTGCTTTCTTCTGAGCAAACGTTTCTTCTATGGAACACAAAAGAATGTATTTTTTGAAAAATGCCTGTTTTTTCATATTTATTAATTACAATTATTAATTAGTTTGTATATGTTAATAACTACAACAGGCCATGATTGACATTGTAATTCAAGTGCTCTTTAATTGATTGTCAAACTTGGTTTTATCTTTTAAAATATGCTATTGAAATTGTTGCATGATTTTCCACATTTTATTTTTAATCAATAAATTATTTGTATAACAGATTGTATGAACAAATATTCTCTATATATACACATGCTAGATCTCTGGATCAATACATCACAGACAATATATTTACCAAGCCAGTTAAGGATTAATACACAACTTGATTAATTTTGTGGCTATTGCCCCAAGGAGCAACAAAATGGAAAAAAAACAAACATTTTTTTTCTCACTGTGTGCATTAAATGGTTGAAAACACAGTGTGAGACATTAAAAAACAAAAATATACAATTCAGTAGCCATAATTTGAGCAGGTAAAAAAAAAAACAATAATAATCAAACAGTAATTGTCTGTTTTTTGTTGAAGGTGGGGAATTTGTTGAAAAAGTGGTGCTTTGATGGCTAGAGCAGTGGTGTTTTAAAGGGGATGGATCTAGAGACGGCTGTTCAGAGATGGTTTATGTGCGCTGACAGTCCAACAGTTAACTGTTACTGAACCCTGAAGCACAGCACACTGTCAAGCATGCTCTCTGAAATGCTGCATCTCTTCCAAAAAAGAAAAAAATATTTATTTCTTAAAACTTTCTTGTTGTCTAACAGACTAGTCAACCATTCTGGCCCATTAATATTGCAATATTTATTCCCAAAACAACCAACCATATTGTAACGGGGCTGACGAGACGTGAGACGTGTGGATCCATCTGCAAGCTTTATTTAAAGAGACGTGGTATAACAGGCAGGGTCGAACAATGGCAAACAGGTATATGGCGGGCAAAAACACAAGAATAGTCCTAGGGCTAGCGTAGGTCACCGATCGGCAGACAGAATCACAGGGGCAAGACGAGAGGGAGAAATCCAGGAAAACAGGCAAAGATCAGATACCGCAGAAACAGGCAAGGCAAAACAAGGAAAACACGATGACTCGGAAAGGGGTACAGGCTAAACAATACTCAGCAGAGAAAGGTGGTTAGAGTGGGTGTTATATAGTGTGTGAGGTGATTAGAAACAGCTGTGTGCAATCAGTGCAGTCTGCAAATCGTGCAAAGAATGATGGGATATGTAGTCCAGGGTGCTATGCAACAGTTTGTGTTGTGCGAGAGTCAATGTAATGGAAAGGGTGACCTCTGGTGGTGAATAAACGGAAGTCCATGGACCGAATTCGTGACACATATAATGATTCTTGCAACAACATCTAACTGTTCAAAGTGACCCCGAAATGTGCTGAAACATCAATAGTAAAGAGGCAGAGGTCCCTTCTAATTTGCATAGTTTTAAGTAACTACTTAAGTTCTCCTTAGCAATCACATTATGGTTTATCAGATCTGAAATCCTCTTCATTGGATTGACATTCACAAATGTTCAAAATTTTAATGTCAGTAAGTAAGTATATATATATATATATATATACAGGTGCATCTCAATAAATTAGAATGTCATGGAAAAGTTCATTTACATGCTTGGATACAGCACTCTGTGAACAGCCAGCTTCTTTGGCAATGTTTGTGGCTTACCCTCCTTGTGAAGGGTGTCAATGAATGTCTTCTGGACAACTGTCAGATCAGCAGTCTTCCCCATGATTGTGTAGCCTAGTGAACCAAACTGAGAGACCATTTCCTTTTACATGCATATATTTTTGCTTTCACACACATACATTCTGATGTAGAATGTAAGTGAATGTAAGTGTGTGAGAGTGCCAGAATGAATTATGGCTTGTACGGGCGGCCCTACAAATATATAT